TTTTTTTTTAGTTTTATTCATTTCAAACGGGCCGGATCCGGCCCGCGGGCCGTAGTTTGCCCACGGCTGCATTAGACAATATTGAGGGAGAAGTGGATTTGGGAGTCCATGCCACAGAACAGAAAGAGGTTAACTCATGGGAATGAGGACATTTTAAGAGAGATGAGAACAGGGTGTGAAGAACCTTGGAGGGAGAGGAGTGAAGAATGACATGAGCCCTAACCGGTTTGGCTCAGTGGATAGGGCGTCGGCGGACTCAAGGGTCCCAGGTTCGATTCCGGCCAAGGGCATGTACCTGGGTTGAGGGCACATCCCCAGTAGGGTGTGTGCAGGAAGCAGCTGATCGATGGTTCTCTCTCATCAATGTTTCTAACTCTCTATCCCTCTCCCTTTCTCGCTGTAAGAAGATCAATAAAGTATATTGAAAAACAAAACAAAACTACAAGTGTTAAAAACAAACAAACAAACAAAAACAAACAACATAAATGCGCCGTGAAAAGCACATGATCACAGGGACCCAGCACCTAAGGTGGGTTGGATGTTATGGAGGGAAACAGGGCACAAAGGCCCAGTAGCAAGAAAAAAGCAATGAATTCCAAGTTCCGTCTTTCTGGAGAGGCCTGGAAAGTGGAATTTCATAGCAAGAGAGGTGCTAACACAGGCAGAGACACCCTCACTGTGGACAAAAAGGAGGAAGATCTGAGAATCCCAGGGGGAAGAAAACTACATAAAAACAAGCGGGAGATAAAATAAACAGGGTTCAGAACTCAAGAGCGACAAAAGGCATATGTTTTCCTCTAAAATTCTACAAAGAACAAGGATTCTCATACGTGGAGGGGAGGTTTGAGTTTCCTCATTCACTGTCACAGCTCTGATGCGGCCTCTGACTGGAATGTGACTTCCCGGCCGCCCGCCTTGCTGGTTCTCACCCCCTCACCTGGACAGACTGGACAGTGGCGTCCACGCTGTACTGTCCACGGTTCTTCCCCTCGTTCCAGCTGCTTGGAGAGGTCTGGTTTGCTGGCTTGACACCCTGCTTGTGAACAAGGACAGAGACTTAGACATGTTATCTCGGGCTGGGCTCTGTCAAGAAGGGAGAATGTAACATTTCAAGGAATGAACAGGTTTCCCATATTATATTGGGCAGGGATCTGTCTAGAAGAGAGAATGAGCCCTGGCTGTTTTAGCTCAGTGGATAGAATGTCAACCTGCAGACTGTAGGGACTCGAGTTCGATGCAGGTCAAGGGCACATACCTGGGTTATAGGCTCCATCCTAGTCCCTTAGGCGCATGAGAGAGGCAAGCAATCAACGTGTCTGTCTCACATGGATGTTTCTCTCTCTCCCCCTCCTTTCCTCTCTCTCTAAAACAGGGGTCCTCCCCTGACCGGTTTGGCTCAGTGGATAGAGCATCGGCCTGCGGACTAAAGGGTTCTGGGTTCGATTCCAGCCAAGGGCACATGCCTGGGTTGCGGGCTCGATCCCCAGTAGGGGGTGTGCAGGAGGCAGGCGATCAATGATTCTCTCTCATCGATGTTTCTAGCTCTCTATCCCTCTCCTTTCCTCTCTGTAAAAAATCAATAAAATAAAATTAAAAATATAAAACAGGGGTCCTCAAACTAAGGCCCGCGGGCCACATGCAAATACAAATATTGTATTTGTCCTCGTTTTGTTTTTTTACTTCAAAATAAGATATGTGCAGTGTGCATAGGAATTTGTTCATAGTTTTTTTTTAAACTATAGTCCAGCCCTCCAACGGTCTGAGGGACAGTGAACTGGCCCCCTGTTTAAAAAGTTTGAGGACCCCTGCTCTAAAAAATATCCTCGCACCGGGCTGATGTGGCTCAGTGGTTGATTGTTGACCTACGAACCAGGAGGCCACGGTTTGATTCCCAGTCAGGGCACATGCCCTGGTTAAGGGCTCGATTCCCAGTAGGGGATGTGCAGGAAGCAGCCAATTGATGTTTCTTTCTCATTGGTGTTTCTACCTCTCTGTTCCTCTCCTTCCCTCTCACTCTAAAATAAAATATAAATAAAATAAGATAAAATAAAATAAAATAATAAAATAAAATAAAAAATATTTTTAAAAAAATCCATCCTTGCATGAGGAATAACCAAAACGAGAAAAAAGAAGGAAGAATGTAACATTATAGGTTCCCCATCTATAACACAAATATTTTTCTCTCAGGAGAGGGGACATAATACCCTCCTGTCTGCAGCAAGAGAAGTACCTGAGATTCCACAATGCCAGAGAACTGGAGTTATTCTGAGCAGTTACGCAGCTGAGAAAGGAAAAGCCACTGACAAGGCACCCGCTGAGTGACCCAGGGGAGCTGTCCTCACCCACTGACACCAGGTGGCTGTAGGTCTCCAACATCACGTCCCTGTACAGGTCCTTCTGCTCGGGGCTCAGGAGCTGCCACTCCTCCCAGGTGAAGTCCACGGCCACGTCGTGAAATGTCAGGGATTCCGGTAACAACTCCATGCTGTGTAATGGGTGACGTCCTTTAAAATCTAAAGCAGGTGTGGGGCCCGGGCAGCGTGGCTCAGTGATTGAACCTTGACCTATGAACCAAAAGGTCAGGATTTAATTCCCAGTCGGGCCACATAAACTGGTTAAGGGTTCAGTCCCCAGGGAGGAGCGTGCGGGAGGCAGTTCATCCATGATTCTCTCTCATCATTAATGTTTCTCTCTCTCGCTCCCTCTCCCTCTCTCTCTGAAATCAATTTTGTATGGCCCAGGAATGATGTTATAAATATCCAAAAGGCCCTTGGCAGAAAAAGGCTCCCCACCCCTGCTATAGATGATATGGATGAAATGATAATTTTTCTTCTCATTTTCACTCTATAAGCTGCATCTTTTCAGCAAGTGGGGTTTTATTTTCTGTACAGTTGGATAATCACATTCCCAGTAAAATACAGGGTGGGGCCAAGTTAGGTTTACAGTTGTTCACATGAAAAATAAGGTATTAATAAATAATAATACAGGAATAAACTGTGTTTTCTGCACACACAACTGTAAACCTAATGTTGCCCCATCCTGTATTTTGTAATTGTGCATTCAGACATTCATGCATTCAACCAGTTACAAGTTTCCATAATGTGACATAAAATATTCTTGTGAACCTAGAAACACCACAATCACACACACACATACATATACATATATATTTCAGAGAGGAAGGGAGAGGGAAAGAGAGTCAGAAATATCAATGATGAGAGAGAATCACTGATTGGCCACTTCCCGCACACCCCACACTGGGGATCGCACCTGCAACACGGGTATGTGTCCTGACTGGGAATTGAACCAGGATCACCTTTGAGTCACGCTGGTAAAGCTGTTTTTTAAAAATGGCAAGACAAAAAAACACCTCTTTGTGAAGCATATGTGAGAGACATCCTGTGGCTTGCAACTCCTAAAATAATTACTGTGTAAACATTACAGAATAGGGTTACCTGACCCTCATTACAGAGCAAAAAAATATATACCTATATACTGAGCAAAAGAAGGCTGACATTAAAAAATGCATAATGGGGGGGGGGGAATAGGGGGGTAAGGACACATTTGTAATACCTTAATCAATAAAAAAAATGCATAATGTAAGATTGATTGATACAGGTAAACTGATTAGAAATGATTAATTATATGATAAAACTACAAAGAAAAGCCTTAAAGTGCTCAGGATGGAGAGCAGATGGTAATTACCTGTGGGTGAGAGGATGTAATGTAATTGGGGTGGAGCCCATAGAACACCATGGGGTGCTGGAGTGCTGTTTCTTTTCTTTTTTTAAAAAATATATCTTCATTGATTTTAGAGAGGAAGGGCGAGGGAGAGAGAGATAGAAACATCAATGATGAGAGAGAATCATCGATCGGCTGCCTCCTGCACACCCCCCCACTGGAGATCGAGCCCGAAACCTGGGCATATGCCCTTGGCCGGAATCAAACCTGGGACCCCTCAGTCCGCAGGCCGATGCTCTAGCCACTGAGCCAAACCAGCCAGGGCTGGAGTGCTGTTTCTTAGATCTGTGAGCAGTACATATATAGATGCATGTCAATACTGCTTTCATACTGAGTAAATTGTAGATTTTAAGTTAACAATTCAATGGAAGAGCTCAACAATACCAAAAGCTTGTCCTCCAAAAGAACCAATAAAATATAAGCATTTGTAGTGAGACGGATGAAGAGAAAACTCGTGCACACAGAGTATTTAGAAATTCAACAGGAGACATAAACCCCATTAAAGAAGCTTTTTTAGTTTTAAAGACGACTATAAATGCATTTACTTCATCAAATTTGAAATCGTGGGTGAATTGTAATTTTATGATCCTACAGAAACTGTTAATTCCTGACACCATAGCAGGTGAATTTTCTGGGTAAGCAACAGGGCACAGATTTCCCATGACAACCCCAATTTCCTAATTTTGTACTTGACAGCTGAGCCAATGCTTTGAGACAAGAATAAATGATAAACATGAGCAAGGAGGACAGAAAAAGAATGTTATATTCAGATACTATTTGATCCACATGGAAAAAGAGATTCAAGGAATTACTTATTTAAAAGAGAAAACGGCCCTGGCCGGTGTCGCTCAGTGGCTGATCAGCACCTGGAGGGTCCTGGGTTCGATTTCCACTCCAGGGCAGGTACCCAGGTTGCAGGCTCAACCCAGTCCCTGGTCCGGGATCCCTCCCACAGTGATGTTTCTCTCCTCCCCCACCCCTCTCTTCCTTGTCCCCTTCCCTTCCACTCTCTCTAAAAATCAATGGAAAGTATTTCCTCACTTCTTGGGTGAGCGTTAAAAAAGAGAGAGGCCCCAATCGGTTTGGCTCAGTGGATAGAGCATCGGTCTGCGGACTGAAGGGTCCCGGGTTCGATTCTGGTCAAGGGCACATGCCCGGGTTGCAGGCTCGGTCCCCAGTGGGGGGCGTGCAGGAGGCAGCCGATCCATGATTCCCTCTCATCATTGATGTTTCCATCTCTCCCTTCCTCTCTGAAATCAATAAATATATTTTAAGCCCTGACCGCTTTGGCTCAGTGGATAGAGCGTTGGCCTGAGGACTGAAGGGTCCCAGGTTCGATTCCGGTCAAGGGCATGTACCTTGGTTGCGGGCACATCCCCGGTAGGGGGTGGGCAGGAGGCAGCTGATGGATCTTTCTCTCTCATCGATGTTCCTAACTCTCTATCCCTCTCCCTTCCCCTCCATAAAATATCAATAAAATATATTTTATATATTTAAAAAGAGAGAGAGAAAATATTCCCCCCAAATAAGCAGATTTTTACATTCATACACTTCAAAGTGTTAGGGTCACAGGAGGAGGACCGCCGGAGGCCAAAGGGGTAAGGGATTAGGAGGTTATGACGTCACCTGCATAACCAGATGGGCTAAGCCCAAAAATGGCGCCAAAGACGGGGCGTCGGAGGTTTTCAAAGGACCCTGGGCGGGTCGCAGGCGAGAGGTGATGTGAGCTCAGCGGCCTGAAGGTGGGTCCCCGGGGAGGCATCCATGCAATTTTTTTTTTCCATGCAATTATTTGATCGGCCCTCACACAAAGGACAGGAGCTCACTGACCTGCTCTCTGCAGCCGCACGGGAGCGTCCAGATGTGACACTTCCGGGAACGGACTCGGCTGCTGCAAGCGGCGCTCAGATATTGCGTCATCCGGCGGCGGCGGGAGGGGACCTGAGGCCTTGACAGAACCGCGAGCCACTTCCGCGTTCCCCTCCCGGCAATATGGCGGCGCCCGGTGGCCGCGCCGCCGCCGCACGGGGGCCGCCATGTTGGGAGGCCTGACTGCCGTACAGAAGGCAAAGCCGGGACCACGGAGCCAGGAGCCAGGAGCCAGGATGGCGGGCAGGTGAGCAGCTCGCGAACTTAATCTCCTTTCCTGGCACTTCGACTGTTGTGGAAAGTGAGTGTTTTTTTTCAGAGACTCAAGCTTGGGGAGGCAAATAAGAAGCGAGTTAAATTGCGTTGGGCGGTCTGGGCAAAGGAGGCTTAGGACAGCAGCTTTTTTTTTTTTTTCCCCAGAGAGGGAGGAGGGAGGGAGAGAGGGAGAAAAGAGGAGAGCAGATTAGGGGGAGGGAGGGGAGAGAAACACCGATGAGAGAGAGAGCACGGACCCTGTACCTCTGCACAGGGGGTCAAACCTGAAACCAACCTGCTCAGGTGCCCTGACCGGGAATCGAACCCATGACCTGTCCTGCGCACTGGATGGTGCTCCAACCGGTGGAGCCACACCAGTCAGGGCATGAATGCAGCTTTTATTTTACAGTTTGTACATTTTTTTAAATTTAAATTCTTTTATTGTTTAAAGTATTCCATGAGTCCCCCATTGACCTCTCCCCAGCCACCCCCTACAACATTAAAAAACAAACAAACAAAAAAACAAGTTTCTTGAGCTCAGTTGTTGCTATAGCAGCAGAGAATAAAATTCTGCAAAGAGAAAAAGGTCATACGTCTAGTAAATAGACACCAACAGGAAGCTTCTGGGGGAAATTTTCTTGCAGGAAGTGGTTTTTAAGAACAGAAGAAGATTTCGAGAAACTGGCACAGTGTGAGGCCGGCCGTCACCGCCCAGGGAAAAAGCTGCTGGGAGGGGGGCCTCAGAGACAGGCCTCCAACAGTGAGGCCAGCAAAGGTCTGGAGCCCATGAGAAAGGCACAACCAGGTCTGAGAATCCAGAAATAATGTCTGTTGTTTTTTGGCCAAGGTCCCAAGATAAGCCAAAGGGAGAAGTCTTTTTAACAAAAGATGCTGGGATAATTGTGTATCTATTTCCAGAAAAAGAAAATTGAGACCCTAACTCCAACCATAAACAAAAATGAACTCAGAATAGATCATAGATTAAGCGGAACAGCTGAAACTATGAAATTTAGAAAAGCAGACGGGAGGAAATCTTCCTGAACCCGAGTTAGCAAAAAGAATTCTGAGAGAAGGCAGTAAAAGATGAGCCATGAAATAAAAGTAAAACTTGATTAAAATGTAAAACGTTTGTATTTCTAAGCACAACGTTTAAGAAAGTGAAGAATGGAGCCAGAGATTGGGAGAAAAAAATTTCCACATCATACATCCGGTGAAGGACTTGCATTCAAAATATAAAAAGAATTTGCCAAACTCAATAATAACAAACAACCATCCAATTAGTTCATGTGTGAGGTCATGACATTTTCTAATAACTCAATTGTGGTGATGATGGCACAGCTCTGACCTTCCTAAATGTCAATAAATTGTACAATTACTACACGAATATTATATATATCTCGAAATGGTGAATCTTGGTTCATGGGTCAACACTCAACCACTGAGCCACACCAGCCAGGGCAATTAATTTGAATAATAATTTGAATAATAAGAGGATCATAATATAAACTGAACATAATTTGCCCTGGCTGATTTGGCTCAGTGGATAGAGTGTTGGCCTGCGGACTGAAGGGTCCCGGGTTCAGTTCCGGTCAAGGGCACATGCCTGGGTTGTGGGCTCAGTCATTAGTGTGGGTGTGCAGGAGGCGGCCAATCAATGGAAGCAACCAATCAAAGGTTCTCTCTCATCATTGATGTTTCTATCTCTCTCTCTCTCTCCCTTCTTCTCTGAAATATATATATATAGTAATAAACTGAACTGTAATTGAATTTTATGTTTTTCATGTATATTCCATGTTTTTTTAAATAAGAAAAAGTTTATTTAGAGACATAGAGGTAGAAGTAGTGAGCTGTGGAAGAAATAGGCTTCAGGAAACAAATTACAGAAGCAGCCCTAACCGGTTTGGCTCAGTGGATAGAGCGTCAGCCTGCGGACTGAAAGGTCCCAGGATCGATTCCGGCCAAGGGCATGTACCTTGGTTGCGGGCACATCCCCAGTGGGGAGTGTGCAGGAGGCGGCTGATCGATGTTTCTCTCTCATCGCTGTTTCTAACTCTCTATCCCTCTCCTTTCCTCTCTGTAAAAAAAAAATAAAATATATTAAAAAACAAAAACAAATTACAGAAGCATAGGGGGCCCATGGAATTTAGGAGACCAGAGAGAGCTATGCCTTGAGAGAAGAAAGTGGGGGGGGGGGGGGCCGCGGGGAGAAGGCATAGCATGCTCCAGAGAGCCACCATGATACTTTATATTTATGTGACTCTAGTTACCATCCCACTAGTTCACCCATGACTTTATTATAGCCACTTTTATATTAATTACATGTAGATATACATAAACATTTTGTAATATGTGTGTGAAAAATTACAGTAAAAGTATATTCTGTTTTCCCCAGTTTTACTGTAATATAATAAACATGAATTAGACTTTAATAACTTTATTTTGGGAAAATTTATATTTACACAAAAATCACAAAGTACTACTACAAAGAGATCACATATAACTTCATTTGACTTCCCCTCATGTGAACATTTTGGACAACTATGGTACCTTTGTCAAATTGAGAAATTAAAGTTGGTATAATACACAACCAAATTACAGACGCTACTTGTATTTCACAAGTTTTTCCACTACCATCCTTTTTCTGACCCAGGATTCAACCCAAAACACAATATTGCATTGAAACACCATGTTTCCTTAATTATCTCTATTCTGTGACCATTTCTCAATCTTTTACTCACTGACGTCCTCAATCATTTTGAGGAATACTAGTCAGGTATCCTATATAATAAAAGGCTAATATGCAAATCGACGGAACGACCAGTGGCTATGACACGCACTGACCACCAGGAGGCAGATGCTCAACGCAGGAGCTGCCCTCTGGTGGTCAGTGCGCTCCCACAGGGGGAGCACTGCTCAGCTAGATTCCAGGCTGACTGCTGGTGAGTGCAGTGATTGGTGCCGGCTTCTCCACCTCCCCCTGCTCCTGAGGGGCAATTGATAGGGGCAGCAGCCATCTCTCGCACCTGTTTTTGGCACTGGCCCCAATCACTGCTGTGCCGCCGTCAGCGGGTCAGCATGTGGGAGCAGTGGCGGGAGCAGGATTGCCTTCAGACGGGGGATTGCCACGGCAGGAGGGGCAGGGGGCATGGAGAATGGGCCGAGACCCACCCCTGAGACCTGCCCCTGTGCCCACTGCAGCCTCAGCCTTGAGGCCCACAGTTCCATTCAAGCTGCATGAATCCGTGCACTGGGCCCCTAGTTATTAATAACTACACCAAAACCGGTTTGGCTCAGTGGATAGAGTGTTGGCCTGCGGACTGAAAGGTCCCAGGTTGGATTCCGGTCAAGGGCATGTACCTTGGTTGCGGGCACATCCCCAGTGGGGAGTGTGCAGGAGGCGGCTGATCGATGTTTCTCTCTCATCGATGTTTCTAACTCTCTATCCCTCTCCTTTACTCTCTGTAAAAAATCAATAAAATATATTAAAAAATAACAATAAAAAAAAAATAAAAAAAATAAAAACACTCACACCTAAAAAAAAAACACTAATTACAATGGTATCACACACAGGCAGGCCCAGGTATCAGGATCAGCCCATATGTGCATGGAACCCCAGATGCTTCCTCTCATTACCCCAGTACATTGACCCCCAAAAAGTTCATCCATCATTTAACCCCCAAACAAACCCGAGCCACATAGAGCATTCACCGACTAACACCACTCTGCAGTTTGAAATTGCGCAGCCACACAGAGAGTTAGGAGCAAAAAAATGGCAAAATGTGCCCTCGGGACTAAGACATTTATATCTGAAGGTTTTTAACCACAAGAGCAGGTCCTGAGGCCACAGGCACCCTAGTCTCACAATACACCCTATTGTGGACACCTTAGGGCTCCCCTGCAATGCCACTCGCATCACCCAAGGTGGATTTGGACAGGCCCTCCCTCCCCACTGTGCACCCAGAGACCCAGACACTGACCTGACTCCTCAAATCACCAGGACCCACCAACAACTGCACTAAATTTACGGAACTCTGCCCCTTTCCTCATTACCCCCCAAAGGTCTCAGGCATTTTTGCAGACAAAACGATAACTGCATTTCCGGGTTTTCCACAGGTAGGGGAGGGCAGTTGGGGACGATCAGGCTGGCAGGGAAGCAGTTTAGGCCGCGGGATCGGGGCCTAAACCGGCAGTCGGACATCGCCCGAGGGGTCCCAGATTGGAGAGGGTGCAGGCCGGGCTTAGGGACACCCCCCTCCCATGCACGAATGTCATGCACCAGGCCACCAGTGGAAACATAAAAAAATGCGATTGTAAAATTTATGCAGCAACTCTGGGAAAAAGTACAGATTCCTTAACAATTAAAAAAGAGATCTACCATACAGCCCAGCAATTCCACTTATGGTATTTATCTAAAGAAAACAAAATATCTCAAAAAGATATCTGCATAACCATGTTCATTACAGAACTATTTACAATAGACAAGAAAAGGAAACAACCTAAGTGTTAATCGATGGACTAACGGACAAAGGTGTGTTATGTTATATATGTTATATATACACTAGAGGTCCAATGTATGAAATTTGTGCAAGAGTAGGCCTTCCTTCCCATGGCTGCCAGCACTCGGGACCCAGGACCTAGGACCCAGCACTGCCTACCCGCTGCAGCCTCGGGCAATTGTGGAGGCCCCTCCCCCCCGATTGATCACCCTGTCGGCTGGTGGCCTGGGCCTCCCTCGGTGGAGCAATCATGGGGTGACGGCCGGGCCCCCAACCAATTCCATCGCACCCACCTTGGCTGGCCTGGCACCAGTCAGTGGGTATCATAGTGTGGTTCCAGATGGTCATCTGGATGGTCGTCCTGCTGTTGGGCCATTCAGTCGATTTACATATTACACTTTTATTATATAGGATTATATACCTATGTATACATAATGGGATATTATTCAGCCATGAGAAAGCAGGATATCCTGACATTTGCAACTCGTGCTCGGACCTTGAGGATATTATGCTAAGTGAGATAAGTCAGAGAAAGACAAATACTGCCCTGACCGGTTTGGCTCAGTGGATAGAGCGTCGGCCTGCGGACTCTAGGGTCCCAGGTTCGATTCCAGTCAAAGGCATGTACCTTGGTTGCAGGCACATACCCAGTGCTGGGTATGCAGGAGGCAACTGATCGATGTTTCTCTCTCATCGATGTTTCTATGTTTCTAACTCTCTATCCCTCTCCCTTCCTCTCTGTAAAAAATCAATAAAATATATTGCCGGGGGCCGGTCCATCCTTGCTGCTTGACACAGTCACTGCAGGGAAGAAACATCTGCACAGCATATGTTTCAAGGGATCTGGCGTATATGGCATACTGTTCTTAATATGTTTGCTCCCCTTCTTGGCACTATGTGTTTTAACCAAGGTCACCTCTCCGAGAAAGGTTGTTTCCCCAGGTAGGAATTTTCCCCTAAAGTTAGGGAGGGAATAAAACCCCTTAACTAAGTGCCAGGCGGGTAGTTAATCACTTTAACTACGAACAATCACGCTTAAGCTACATAATCTTTACTCCCTGGAATGGAGATAAGAAACGCCCTAACCTTTGGAATAGAAGTTGACAGGATTAAAATCAACTGGTATAAATACAGATGTAACAAGACAACAGGAGACAGAACCTAGAGACGGAACCTAGCCGGAACATGGCGGGAGAACCTGGATAGAACCTGGCTAAAGAACCTGGTGACCGAACCTGGCTGGAGAACCTGGAGTACCTGGCTGGAGAACCTAGCGACAGAACCTGGCTACAGAACTTGGCTGAAGAACCTAGCGAGAGAACATGGCAAGAGAACCTAGAGACAGAACTTCACTGGAGATCCTGACCAGAACTTCGCTGGAGATCCTAACCAGAACTTCGCTGGAGGTCCTGACCAGAACTTCACTGGAGATCCTGGACAGAACTTGGCTGGAGAACCTAGACAGAACCTGGCTGGGGAACCTATACAGAACTTGGCTGGAGATCCTGGCTAGGCTACTGATCAACTGAACGCTGTCTCCGTGTCATTCCTTCTTTGCCGACTCCGTCCACACCTTTGGGGATCCCTGGACCTGCTGGGGTTGGACCCCAACAATATATTAAAAAAAGACAAATACTGTATGATCTCACTTATATGTAGAATCTAAAACAAAACAAACTCACTGATACAGAGAAAAGATTGCTGGTTGCCAGAGGGGTAGGGATGGTGGGGATGGTCAAAAGGTACAAACTTCCACTTAAAAATAACTCCAAAAATAACAACAAAAACAATAATAATATAATGTCGATCATCATTAGCCATTAGGAAAATATAATTAAGCTCAAGATCAAATACTACTACATGCCTATTGGAATGGTTAATGTAAAATGTAACGACAACACCAAGTGCTGGGAAGGATGAAGGGCAATGAAATCTCACATATGTGGCCCTAACCGGTTTGGCTCAGTGGATAGAGCGTCAGCCTGCGGACTCAAGGGTCCCAGGTTCGATTCCGGTCAAGGGCATGTACCTTGGTTGCAGGCACACCCCAAGTGGGAGGTGTGTGGGAGGCAGCTGATCGATGTTTCTAACTCTCTATCCCACTCCCTTCCTCTCTGTAAAAAATCAATAAAATATATATATTTTTTAAAATCTCACATATGTGGCTAGTAGAATGGCCAAAGTAGAAGACACTGAACATACCAAGTGGTGGAGAGGATGTTGAGCAACTCAGACTTCACACATTGCTGGGAAGAATGTAAAATAGTACAGCCATTCTGGAAGAGTTTGGTAATTTCTTATAAAGCTAAATATAACTTAACAAATATCCCAATAATCATTACCTGTATATGTATTGTAGAAGAATAGACGTTTACATTCACACAAAACACTGTACGCAGACTTCATAGCATCATTATGATTTGTAACAGCTGAAACCAGTAAACAATACAAATCTTTCACGAGTTTGAATGGCTAAACAAACTGGTATATCCAGTGTATGTATGTACTCACTAATAAAAAGAAAACTATTCTCAACTCAATTAAGAGCAATTTGCCAAGTGACAAAAACACGAAATGCTTACATGGTCCCCATTAGTAAAACATTATAAATTTGTATAAATAAATACAATTGATTTATATAAAACGTATAAAATACAATTATAAAAATGATTCCTATAGCATTCATGAAATGCAAAATTAAACTGATGGAAAACAGGTCAAGTGTTTGCCAGAGGTAGGTTTAGATAGAGGATATGAGCCTAAAAAACATTAGCACGGGGGAGTCTGTGGATTAAGCAATTTTCCATCACGGTTGTGGTTATGTGGCTCTATATAAGGTAATAAAGCTTAGAATTACAAACTTAAAAAAAATACATGTAAAGTCTAATAGAATCCAAATAAGGTTAAGAGTTTCATTAACAGTATACTACCAATGTCATTTTTCTGGATTCAATAAAAAATGGTTTTATCAGATGTTTTTACTGGGAGTAGCTTGGTAAAGAATACTAGGAAAGTCTATGGACTGTTTTGCAATTTCTTGTAAGTTAAAATAATTTCATATTTAACATTTTATAAAAATAACTTTGAAGGTGGTTTTATAAAATATTTGGCCATACTTATAAACTTGATTGGGTAAGTATAAATGTTATATTTATAAATTTAAAATGTTTTCTTTTAAACTATTTCTGTATGATAAATTTACAATTAAATTTCGAGCCAAAGAAAGGTGAGAGCTAATCGTATGAGGTCATAGAACACTCCTATGTTGCATTTAACAGTAAAAATTAATCAGGAGTGAGGAAAGCACACTAGTTTTTATCAGGTGAATTATCTAATGTAAAATGAAATGAAGTTAGGCTTATAACAGAGAACACTCAGCCCAGCTGATGTTGCTCAGTGGTTGAGTGTTGAACTATGAACCAGGTCATGGTTCGATTCCCATTGTTGTGCCGTCTCGATTCCAGATAGGGGGCGTGCAGGAGGCAGCTGATCAATGATTCTCTCTCATCATTGATGTTTCTCTCTCTCTCCCTGTCCCTTCCTCTCTGAAATCAATGAAAAAAATATTTAAAAGAAACGGAGCATGTTGAAGTTTGAGGACCATTGGTACAGATTCAAAATAGAAACCACCACCACCAGTGGTGTAGCACAGTTTGGTCTTTAAAAAACAAAAACAAAAACCCACTCAAACATTATCCCTTTTCATAGAACTTCTTTCCTTTGTAAGTTCTCTGATATTTACTAAAAGTGCTCTAAATTTAGCATGTTCATAAAGCCTTCACTTCTATATGATTTTCAAACAATGGGTTAGAATGCATCAGTGAAATTGTCAAATATAATGCAGTTCTCTTAAAGTTTGTCTCCAGTGTGAACTGTGACTCTCACTGAGGTCTTCTTTCTGGGTAGAGGCTTTGCCATGGTTACCACATTTCTTTGTTTTTTATCGTTTGTCTGTTTTTCATACTTCTACGAACAATGAACACACCGATGATCTATGACAATCCCTGATAATAAAGTCTATCTTCCCACTGAAAGCTTTCCTCGTCTCTGTATACACAGAATTTGTCTCAATATGCACTTTTCATACGTATATTGAAGCCAGAAAGTTTTGTTGAGGCATATAATGAAGCTGGAAAGGCATCTTCACATTGGACATATCAGAGTTTTTCCAACATGTTTTCACTGACAGAAAATGTGAGGTAAGGATCACTCAAGGCACTACCACAGTCACTGTCCTCACCAAGTTAATCTCCCGGGTAAATTCCTTAATCTCCTCAGGGCACAGGTTTAACAACAGGCATTACCATGTTTGCATTCTGATCTGCTAGAAACACTGATGTTTAATGAGGTCCTGGTTGTCCCAGAAGGCATTCCACAGAAATTGCATTAATAGGTGTGTTGTTCCGCATGACTTCACTCCCAGGTAATGACCGTGACTCTCCATTAAAAGAATTTTCAGCTTGAGCGAATCTACCCATTTCTCGGGTGTGCGTTTTCTGATGTTTAACAAGGTGTGACAATTGGGAGAAGGCTTTCTCACAAATGCTGCACTCATAGGGTCTCTCTCCTGTGTGAGTTCTTTGGTGGACATTGAGGACTGACTTTGTGGCGAAGGCTTTCCCACATGCCTTGCACTCGTAAGGTTTCTCTCCTGTGTGACTTCTCTGATGGGTAATGAGACCATACTTGTGAGAATATTGTTTTCCACACTCACTACATACAAAGGGTGTCTTTCCCGTATGACATCGCTCATGTTGTCTGAGGCTTATTTTCTGGCTGAAGGCCTTCCCACACTCATTGCATTCATAGGGTTTTTCTCCTGTGTGAGTTCGCTGATGTATAATGAGGGTGCACTTAGTGGTGAAGCCTTTTCCACATTCCTCACATATGTACAATTTCTCTCCTGTATGAGTTCGCTGGTGTATAGTGAGCTTGCGCTTCACGGTGAAGCCTTTTCCACACTCACTGCATATATAAGATTTTTCCCCTGTATGAGATCTTTGATGGACAATGAGATTACTCTTCACAGTGAAGTCTCTTCCACATTCATCACATACATAGGGTTTCTCTCCAGTGTGTGTGCGCTGATGTACAACAAGATAGTGTTGCATGGTGAAGCCTTTCCCACACTCACTGCATACATAGGGTTTCTCCCCTGTGTGAGTTCGCTGATGCACAATTAGATTGCTCTTCACAGTGAAGCCTTTCCCACATTCGTTGCAAACATAAGGCTTCTCTCCACTATGTGTTCGCTGATGGGCCATCAGGTAGCGCTTCACGGTGAACCCTTTCCCACAGTCACTGCATATATAGGATTTCTCTCCTGAATGGGTTTGCTGATGTCTGGTGAGACCAGTGTTCACAGGAGAGCCCTTTCTGTATTCGTTGGTTATAGAGAGTTTGTCTCGTGTTTGAGTTTTCTGATGTTGAGTGAGAATGACATTTCTGGAGGATTTCCATGAATCACACCCATGACTTTTCTCCCCTGTATGAATGCCCCCATGGTTAATGAGCTGAGATGTCCTGATGCAGGCTTTCTCACCTTGGATGAATGCTTGGGATTTCTCTATTTTATGAGTCTTTTGATGCTTAGAGACTTGTAATTCAGTGCTGATGTGTTTTTCACTTTTAGGGATTTCCGTTCCAGTGTACAACTGTTCATGATTATCACGTAGAAAGGATTTCTCATCTCCATTAAACTCAACGGGGTTCTTTACTTCATATCTTTGCTTCTGGTTAATTAAACTTGATTTCAAAGCGTTCCTACATAATTCCAACATATGATTACGCATTATGGCTATATTGGTTCTGCTCAGATGAAAAGTATTTCTAAGTGCATTCCTTTCATGGCATTGTTGGATGCTCTTCAGAACTATTTGGTTGTGAGAGTGCTCTTGCAGACAACTGTCAACTTTCCTGATTCCTAGTAGAGAGAGAACAACAAATTTCTTAGAATAAAAGTGCTTAGCCCTGGCCAGTGCTTCTCAGTGGTTAGATTCAGCCTGTGCACCGAAGGGTTGCAGGTTCAATTCCCAGTCAAGGGCTGGTACCTGGGTTGCAGGTTCAATCCCCAGCCCCAGTCGGGGTGCATGTGGGAGGCAACCAATCTATGTGTCTGTCTCACATCGATGTCTTTCTCTCTCTCTCTCTCCTTCCCTTCCTCCACTCTCTATACATCATGGAAAAAATATCCTCGGGTGAGCATTAACAAAAACAAACCAACAAAAGAATAAAAGTGCTTAAAAGATGATGTGGTGGGGACTGGCTCTTCATTGTCGACCATCCTGTCCCATAAAGATGTTAAGGTGAAGAAGTATCAGATCCAAGAAGAAAAAAGGAGTATGTTTAAAGCAAAACAACCACAAAGAGAAAGAGTTCTTATCTCGGGAGATCTCTATGTGGAGGAGCTATTTAGCTATCCTCAGACACCCTCAGAGCTGTGAGCACTTCTCTTTTTTTTCTCTCTTTTAAAAAAAAAATATATTTTTATTGATTTCAGAGAAGAAGGGAGAGGGAGAGAGATAGAAACATCAATGATGAGAGAGAATCATTGATTGGCTGCCTCCTACACACCACACACTGAGGATCAAGCCCACAACCTGGGCATATGCCCTGACCGGGAATCTAACTGTGACCTCCTTGTTCATAGGTCGATACTCAACCACTGAGCCATGCTGGCTGGGCAAGCCCTTCTCCTACAGTGGTTCTCAACCTTCCTAATGCTGCGACCCTTTAATACAGTTCCTCATGTTGTGGTGACCCCAAACATAAAATTAATTTCGTTGCTACTTCATAACTGTAATTTTGCTATTGTTATGAATCGTAATGTAAATATCTGATATGCAGGATGTATTCATTGTTCGCGACCCACAGGTTGAGAACCGCTGGACTAGAATATGACTTCCAGGGCCACTCCCTAGCTGGTTCTCACTCACTCACCTGGACAGCTTCCAGAATAGATTTCATCCTCTATTCGTGCTTCTTTCCCATGTTCCAACTTGGACAGAGCATCTGGTTTGGCAGTGTGATACCCTGATCAGGAGAAATGACACAAGACATAGATACAGTGACTTGGATACGGCATAGTATGTGAAGATGGGAAATATTACAATTTCTCATATGCAAAGTAAAAGTTCTCTTTCAGGATAGAGGAGATTATACCCCTTTGTTTGGGGCCAGAGGGGAGATTGGAAATCTGCTGACTCTTCACAGGACCACAGTGACTACAAAGCTTTCATCAAGTACTAGAGCAGTGGTTCTCAACCTTCCTAATGCTGCGACCCTTTAATACAGTTCCTCATGTTGTGGTGACCCCCAACCATAAAATTATTTTCGTTGCTACTTCATAACTGTAATTTTGCTACTGTTATGCATCGTAATGTAAATATCTGATATGCAGGATGTATTTTCATTGTTACAAATTGAACATAATTAAAACATAGTGATTAATCACAAAAACAATATGTAATTATATATGTGTTTTCCGACGGTCTTAGGCGGCCCCTGTGAAAGGGTCGTTCGACCCCCAAAGGGGTCGCGACCCACAGGTTGAGAACCGCTGTACTAGAGTAAAGGCCAGTGACAGGGCACCTCTACGTGACACAGGGAGCTGTACTTACCCAGTGAAACCAGATTGTTATAGGTCTCCAACATCACGTCCCGATACAGTTCTTTCTGCGCAGGGTCCAGCAGCTGCCACTCCTCCCAACTGAACTCCACAGCCACATCCTCCAGTGTCAGCAATTCCTGTAATAACACGGTCCTGTTTACTGTGGTATCCACTCCCTTTACTAACATGGAAAATGCATGAGGACAGCTGTTCTAGTTTCTACCACATAGCCTGCATCTATATACTTTCCTCAAATATATTGTAGTAAAAACAAAATCCTATCTTTCTCTTTATATATGTAGTTTAGCACGTATTTCCAATACTAATGTACAAATAACATTGGGAGGAAGAAAATATTCCTACATTACAATAAAACTCCGCATCCAGAATTTACAAGACAAGTGTTTTTAATAAGTTTTAAAAAATAACAGAGCCCTAGCCCGTTTGGCCCCCCACTGGGGACCCAGTCCACAACCCTGGCATATGCCCTTGACCGGAATCGAACCTAGGACCCTTCAATCCACAGGCTGACGCTCTATCCACTGACCCAAACCAGCTCGGGCAGTTATGTATTTTTTGTATGCTAATGACTCAAGGGGGCAGAAGGGTTGGTTAGCTTTGGGATAGGGACTGGTTGCCAGAGGAACAAAACATTGATTAAAGGATTGGAATTTTCAGCCCCACCCCTAAAACCTACACTGAGGAGAGAGGGGCTGGATATTGAGTTCAAGCCTAATGGCCAATGATTTTTATCAATGAAGCCCAACAAATGAGACCTTCATAAAACCCTCAAACCATAGGTTTGGCAAGCTTCCAAGCTGGTGAACACATTGAGGTAATGAAAGAGTAGCATACCTCACTACCTGGCCCTCTGCATCTCTTCCATGTCACTGTTCCTGCGTTGTATCCTTTGTAACAATCCTATCAACGTTAAGTAAAATGCTTTCTTGAATTCTGTGAGTTGTTCTAGCAAATTACCAAACCCGAGGAAGGGCTTGTGGAAACCCCTGGGTTACAGCAGGTCATTTGGACGTACAGGAGGCCCAGGACTTGGGACTGGCATCTGAAATGGGGGGCATTCTTGCAGGTCTGAACCCTTAAAACTGTGTCATGTTATGACCTACTCAATGTCAGAGAACTGGGACGCACATATTTGGCGTCAGGAGGAAAAAAACATTCTCGTTTGGTGTGGGAAGTGTTGTGGGTAAAAACATGAAGCAGCTAAGCCATTCCAATATTACCGACACACAGAACGTGTGAGATAAAAAACATGTGTTTGAAGTTGCTATGTTTTGGAGTACAGTGGGGCCTTGACTTACAAGTGTCCTGACTAACGAGTTTTTCGAGATACAAGCCATCTCTCGGCCGATTTTTTGCTTTGAGTTGCAAGCTAAAATTCGGGTTACGAGCCAGCTTCAGATACCCCACCGCTAGTTGGCGCGGCAAACGTCACAGTGAACGCCACAACATCAGCCCAGCATCACGTGTCTCACTCATTCACTTTTTGATTTGACATACGAGTAATTTGAGTTATGAGCTCCGTCACGGAATGAATTAAACTCGTAAGTCAAGGTCCCACTGTACTTGGTTAGGTACCTGTCTGTGAAAAACTTACTTCTGTTTTCCTTTCCACGCTAATACAGAACACTTCTGGGGCCAGATGTGTGGGTTTTCCACACCAAGAAATTCTGGCACTCACTGCCGGGAGTTAGTGCAGATGTCACAGGTTAAGGGTTCATTTCCGCACGATTGTCCACACTTCAGACACCAATCTTAAGTAGTGGGTCTCCAGGAAACCCACTGTCCGATTGACTACAAATCTGAGGTTCCCGTAACCTTCTCCTTGGGTTCAATCATTTGCTAGCACAGCTCACAGAACTCAGAGATAGTGGAGGCAAAGTGACAGCTGATGTGACCCATGGAAGCCACCACATCACACATTATGTTCCAATATTAGTCATTTAGTATGACCCCAACAAACAATATTTTCCTCATCTCACTTTGTCCTAATTTCAAATGTAGAGTCTAAGTTAATTTATCCAGAACCCAATTATCCCAATTTATCCTTTATTTAGTTGATTTAAAAAAATATATATCTTATTGATTTTTTACAGAAAGGAAGGGAGAGGGATAGAGAGTTAGAAACATCGATGAGAGAGAAACATTGATCAGCTGCCTCCTGCACACCCCCTACTGGGGATGTGCCCGCAAACAAGGTACTTGACCAGAATCAAACCTGGGACCCTTCAGTCCGCAGGCCGACGCTCTATCCACTGAGCCAAACTGGTTAGGGCTATTTAGTTGATTTTTTTTTTTAATGTCACCACATACCTGTAAGAAAACAAAGGAAAGGTAAAAGAAAGAAACAATTACCTGGGCTCCCATCATTTTCTTCTGTGCTCAGGAAATACTGAGTTACATGGATTCTATGTATGTTGTGTCCTCGGCATCTGCCGTGAAGTTCTTAGATAACATCTAGGTATCCAGTTAAAGTTGTCCCCAGAAATGATGGTATCCAAGTCTAAGAGCCTCCTTTTTCTTCCTTCATTCCTTTACTTGATGCCTCTTACTATTGGGGAGCCAGGACCTGTGGGCTGAGGAGCAAATTGACTTTGAGTGGACATTCCTTCTGGGCCCAGATGTTGTCACTGTTACCATATACTTTGCTTAAAGAAAGGACCCCAATATTCTTTTTTACAAAATATATATTTTATTGATTTTTTTACAGACAG